TATAAACCATCCGATCGTTACCAAATTAATTCATAACGCTAGACAAATGTTATGTTGCTTTGGCTCTAATAAATACTATGGGTTTGGTAGCTCTAGTTTTCGGAAATTGGCCAAATTTGAAGATCACGTATCGAGTGACTTTTCAAAACCGACTCTATGACGTGTTGTAGTAATTGTTAAACACGAAATCAACTTATAATTTGTGTAATATAAATTATTTTGATCACCTTTTTTATTTTTTATGGGGTTGAGTCAATTTAAAATGGTAACATTTCAAGGATAATGATTATAGACTACATCATCAGTTGGATTTATTAAGTAATTGGAAATACTTTTGAATTGTTCCTTCCTATATGTGACACAGCGGTCAAGCTAAATAGTAAATTGTGAAAGGAGCAAAAAAAAAATTGTCCTCTTTTTTTGTTTGCGTGTGTAGAAAATAGAAAGGTATTAGTTTAAGTTTGAAAATAACCTATATGGCCTATAATCTATATATGGTTTGCTAGTGTGGACACCAAAATTTGAAGAATTACTTGATCTTGAGTTGACACGATCAAATTGGTGTAGTTGGCTTTTTTATTTTGGGGCGTTCACAATTTTCTGTTGAATTCCAAATAGATTTCGTCTTTCACCAAACTCCCCAGTTTCAAGTTTACCTTTCAAACGTGTATATATATATATATATATATATATATATATATATATGTGTGTGTGTGTGTGTGTGTGTAGTTACTAATCAGAGTAAGACAAGCTAAAAATCGAGAACATGTAACAGTCTTCATTATTTTATTTTTGTTTTATTTTTCATAACACAAAATAGTATTCTTCATTATTATTGGTCATGATGTAATTATCGATGTGTTTGTAGCTATACACTACATACATATATATAGAGAGAGAGAGAGACTCTTTTACGAGTACTAAATAAGTAGGAATATATCATTAAATTAGAGCTCATATTAAAACCTGTAACATTCTAGTCCAGTAATGGAAATGAGAGGAATGACCACGGATAATTAATGGCCATAATTAGGATTTGTTTTAATCTGACACGTAACACATTTTGCAGGTTGCTATTATATAATTCATCGATTGGACACTTCGAGGATTCTCAATAGAATCGCGTTTGGTTTATAGATTCAAATCATGTTATTAGATTCATTTTTGATTTACGTGTATTTTTTGTGAGAGAAAATATTGTAACTAATCACGAATCATAATTCGAATCAGGAAACGAATCTAGATACCAAACGGACTCTCAATTTAATTTGTTCATGTTATAATTTATAATAGTCAACAACGGGAAACATTTTGAATGATCATGTTCGTTTAATAAAGAAAAAGAACAATGTTGGACGTCGCCTTCTCTCTTAACAAGGAAAGATTATATCACAAAACGTTCTTTTTTATGAGCACTAAGTACTAAAAAGCGACCTCATCTACAAAGTTTAAATTTAACATTCAAATTATTCTAGATGACAATACATTGAGTTGTTAAAATTGTATTGGAACGATAACCAATGAGGCAGGAGGTTCTGGACAACAATCTGAACTATAAACGTTATTCAATAAAACACATGGTATGGAATATAATTTTCCCGAATAATAATTCACTCACATCACATTGATTAAAATATTGTTTCGACAACTTATGATTCTTATCATCATTATTTATTCTAAATTTCAACACATGATTTTCATCTTTTTGTCAAAAAATACAAAGGGTGCGGAATTAGTTCCAAAATGATTTTATTTTTTTGTATGAAAATGAAAACGTTTTCATTTTCATTTTGAAATCATTTTTAAAAATGCGTTTGGTAGTTTTATTCTGAAATTAATTTCAGTTAAAAAAAAACTGAAATTGTGTTTGGTGGTTTAATTTTAAAAACATGTAATAATATTTAATATTAAAATATATTAAATAAACAATAATGGAATCATTTATGAACCAAATTCCACAACAAACCCAGTTCCTCTCTCTCTCTCTCTCTCTTTACATTTTCAAACAAAAATCAAACCCAGCAACCCCATCCCTCTCTCTCTCATCTTCGATCAACAAAAGCCAGATTCACAAAATTTTACCCGTGCAGCAAAACAAAAATGTTGCAGTCGGAGAAACTGCCGCCGACAGCGTGATAGGAGTAGGCTGCCGACAATTAGATCGCAGTGATGGTCGCGGTTAGGCAGGATCCCACCATGGTTGTGACCTTATCGCACGGCTCGCGACAGAGGACGGGAGGTCGAGAGAGAGAGAGGGGGGTCGCGATTCATCGGTTTTGGGTGTGGCTTGTGACGGTGTTTCCCGGTGAGGTTCGATGGCGGGACCCATTGGGTTTTGATGTACGAGGCGGTCTAAGTCGATGCCCGGTTGTAGTTATGGACAACTCGTGGTGGATACGGAGGGGCAAAGTTGGCTTGGTCGCGACTTCTAGGTGGCGCCAGTGGCGATTTCGGAGAAGAGAGAGAAGAACGAAGGGAGAAAATAAAAAGGAAAATGAAAAACAGATTTAATCCGTTTTCAGATTTTCAGAAAAGGACAAAAACGTTTTTGTTTTCAGTTTTTAGAAAATTTTGCACCAAACGCGTTTTCTATTGGCGTTTTCATTTTTTATCCCCGAAAAATGTAAAACACGGAAACAAAAACAAAAACAAATAGGGCCAAATACTTTCCTTTTCAATTAAAAGAAATTATGAAAGGACAAAGAATCAAGGAAAGTTGACGTAAATAACTAATTTTAGCAATAGTTTAAATTTTATTGTATTAAATAAATTCAATTGAAAAAAAAAACACTCGTTTATGATATTGAAATTTGTATTTATTAAGTGCATGTTGGTTTGAGGGTTCAAACTAGTGCTGAAACTTTGGGCTGGCGGCTGGCCGAAGCCCGAATTTTTTTGGGCTCGGGCAGGCAGGCCCATATGCCAGCCCATTCAAGGTGGAAATTCGGGCTCGGGTTCGGGCAGCCCGAATTTTGAGACCACGCCGGAGCCCGCCGCCAAGTAGGTGTCGTCGATCGCTATCCGCCGGAGTTGTTTTTGAATTTTTCCGGACATGCCCGACTGCCCGAAAAAACGTTCAAAAATCCGACCGGTGTGCCCGACCAAAAAATAAGCCTGAAAACCCAAATTTTGCACGAAGCCCGAGTTACCCGAATTGCCCGAATTGCCTAAAAACCGTCCAACGGCTATTTTTTTGCCCGTTGTAGCCCGAATACGCCCGAACAAAAATTTAATGGGGTTATATGATATTTGATCTTTGCTGTCTATTGTGATCTGTTTGATTATGCATTGCAAATGTCACTAGCAGCCTGCTGACATTTGGGGTTTAATGAAAATGTCAGTTATTGTTGGTTCTTTGCTGTCTTATTGTTCATTTGAAATTGCTCTAAAAAAGTGTGAAGAGGGAAAACTAGTGGTAGTTATCTCTCTAAGTATCTCTAAACATAGTACAATTTAGTGGGTTCTCACACTTTTTTTCTTCGTTCCCATTAAAGATTAATGAATATTGAGCCGGTAATCTAAAAATAGTCTTAAACATTGCTCATAAGAATCAAATTTAAGATCTCTCATATCTATCAAATCACCAGAGAGTAAGCTTAATGCCTCTAGGCTACCACTTTAATGGTAAGTTTGTAAGAAAGGGATAGGAAAGAAATCCGAGGAGGGATTTTGGAGAGAAAATAAAATTTTTGGTTGTTTCGTAAAGAGGAAAATGAAAAAGAAAAGAAGTTACAATTTTCATTACTTTTTAATCTTTCAAATTTTTAAAGGAAAAGAGGAAAATAAAATATTTGCCAAAGCAAATAATATGTCAAATAAACATTTTGACTCGACAACTATAAAATAAATAGATAAAACATTTTTTTTTTTACTTTACTTTCTCATCTACCAAACATTGTGCATTTTGTTTTACCTTTTCCTAGATTGTTGCTCAATTTTCTTTCTTGTATTGACCTTTCTTCTTCTTTTTTTTTCAACTTTTTTTCAGTAAGCTCTTTTAGTATGAGATTCTTATAGCTCCATAAATTATTCCTAGCTAGATGTGAAAGGAAGTGACGGGAGTATAAATTCACATCAGTGGAGGTTAATAAAAACAAAAATTTAACGGGGTTATATTACTAACCGTTCAACGGCTATCTTTTTTCTTTGTCAAGTTTTTATTCTAATTGAGTTTTTCTTGGTAAGATTTTTAATGAGGTAATCATGAATTATAAATTTAAAAATTAATAAAAAAATAATTTTTTTATATAGTTCGTGTGTTCATTTTAAATTTCAAATTGTAATATATTTAATATATATATAAATTTTAACACAAAATAACTTAATATTAAAAAACATTTTAAAAAAATTCAGGCTTTTTCGGGCGGGCTCGGGCCGCCTAATGCAAGCCCGCGGCCTGTTCAAGGTGAAATTCGGGCTCGGGCGGGCGGCCCAAATTTCTCGGGCGGGTCGGGTTTGGGCTCGGGCAAAAATCCGGGCTTTTCGAGAGGTCGCGGGCGGCCCATCCAAAGTTCTAGCACTAGTTCAAACTACCCTAATTTTGATTTAAACAGTGTTTTCACTCACAAAAATATAAATTTAAAAAGTTTTACTAAGTGTTTTCTTTCACAAAATTTAAATTTTAGTTCAAACCACCCTGTTTGAATCCTCAAACCAAACAAGGACTAAGTCATCCCTCTTTGTCTTTTTTTTTTAATATTATTATTTATTTTTTAGGGTACATTTATAATGGAGAAGATAACTCTATCTACATGAATTGCGTTTTAACTATTGGATTAGCTTTTTAACCGTCTAATCTGAATAGGAATAGTTTTATTTTTCACGCGTTAAATTTTTTAATACATATATATACAGATCTAACCGTTAAAAAATTAATCTAATAGTTAAAATAATAATTCACATGGATCTAGTAAAAAAACCTTTTCTACCACAGAGATTCCCTTTTTTTCTTAGCAAATAATGCATTTCCTCACTTTCCATATTTCCTCTCTCCAAAAACACGTAAAGCATATTAGTATAACGTGAGCATTCCTTGCACGTTCCTCCAAATATGATCTTGCTGAAAGCACAAAACTTTCTGGTACGCATATATACAACTATATAACAATACAAATAATAATTATTTGTCAACTCTGCAACCCCGTCATCATAATCATTTAAAAAATTATTATAAAAAAAGAGTTTCCCAATTTTCCGCTTTCCTTGAGCGAGATTGTAGACGTGGGAATTCAACGGTTTTGTCTTTGACAATGAGATTTTCAGAGTTTTTCCTTTCCTTTTTTTGGCCTATAAAAGAGAAGCATTTGTTTTTGTTTTTCAACAAAACTGGTTTTATTTTCTTTCTTTTTTCGTTGGCCATTTTCTTCTTCTGTGTTTATTTGCAGAAGAGAAGTGGGGTTTGGGCATTGCAGGTACTGGAGAGAAGAAGAAGAAGAACAAGTACTACATCGATCATCCAGGAGGAGAAGATGATGAACGGTGGAGATTCAGTGCCGGAGATATTGGATAGCAAGAGTGGCGGCTATGGTGGGGGTGTTGAGGACGTGTACGGTGAGGATACTGCCACGGTGGATCAGCTTGTCACCCCTTGGACTGTCTCTGTTGCTAGGTCAGTCATGAGTGACGACACACAAAAATCATGGTTTTGAACTCTAATCAATGTGTTGCTCAAATTTTTTTATTTATCTTGAACTGAGTTTGTTTCCCTTTTTTTTTTTATTATAATTATATTATATGACTATGTTTTTATGTGATTTTTGTGGAATATGCTTAGCTTCGGCTTCTCAATTTCTTTTTAGTTTCCACCTTTCACGTGGGGTTCATTTTTTTTTTTTTTCTGAAAGAATTTAGGTAGTATTTCAAGTGGAAATTTGTGTTTTTTTTTTTTTGAAAGGTGAAATTTGTGTATTTGAGGCTTTTGAGATATTAATGAAAATTTTAATTTTCAGCAGCTTTAAGAAAATTTTCACATTTGATGCAATTTATTTGAGAATGTTGCATAATGCATAGTAAATGGCTTACAAATCCTTTCTGCAAAATATATTTTTGCCTCCAAACGAGGCATTCACTCGGATAACTTTCTTTTTCAGCAATAAATAAATAAATGAAAACGTGAATTCTATTCAATAAATTTGTTGTCCTGTTTCCTTAATATTTACTCTTTGATTCTCAAATAATTGTATAATTCCAAACTACAACAAAACATGTGTTTTTATTTATTTTTCTTCTTAGCGTTACAGTGTTAATTTTTTTTCACTGTGTGGCTAATCATTCAAGTCTAAAGTACAACTTAATTAGCATATATATATATATTTATTATCAATGCAGTATTACTAAGTTGGTTCCAATTAATATAATGCAAATATGTTGTGACAGTGGATACACATTGTTGCGGGATCCACACCACCACAAAGGGCTTGCCTTCACTGAGAAGGAGAGAGATGCTCACTACTTGCGTGGCCTTCTCCCTCCTGCTGTCCTAACTCAGGAGCTTCAGGTTAGCCAACAAAAAAAAAAAAAAAATGTTACATTTTTTCAAAACTTCATATATTTTTTCCCTTTCTTAACAAAATTTTACTAAATTCCGCCATGTCGATTCTGGTGTATAGGAAAAGAAGATGATGCAAAACCTTCGCCAATATGACGTCCCATTGCACAAATACATGGCCATGATGGATCTTCAGGTAAATCGATCAGTTTAATAACAAAGTTCATACTAGTCCCGACAGGACTATATTGCCATATGTCACATATAAAATTAAGAAGTATAACATAACATTTATTTTATAAGTAAGACTATAAATTAGTTATGTATACTACTGTCACACCTTTTTAACTTCAATGTTATATTGAATAAGTGTCATGTTATATTTCTCAGTTTTATTTGTTACATAGCAATACAGTCCTACCTGCAGAAAGTTCACTAAAATTTTGTTCCATTTTCACTCTACAGGAGAGGAATGAGAGGCTGTTTTACAAACTTCTTATTGATAATGTTGAAGAATTGCTTCCTGTTGTGTACACTCCAACAGTTGGTGAGGCTTGCCAGAAGTACGGTAGCATTTTCCGGCGTCCTCAGGGCCTTTACATCAGTTTGAAAGAGAAGTATGCCATTTAAATTCAATTTTTTAGTCAACATCAATTAGTTTCATAGCTACCAAGCAGACATTGAATTGACTCTGAATTCTTTTCCCTCTCAGGGGAAAGATCCTTGAAGTACTAAAGAACTGGCCTCAGCGGAGCATCCAAGTTATCGTTGTGACTGATGGCGAGCGCATTTTGGGGCTAGGGGACCTTGGCTGCCAGGTAAACTGATTTGTTCTTATCAGTTTTTACCCTGCTTAGATTCGTATATTTCATGAGTTTGTATTATTATTTGTTATATCATACTTGGATCCATTGTTTATTTCAATCAATAATGTTTGTCAGGGAATGGGGATTCCTGTTGGAAAGCTTTCTTTGTATACAGCACTGGGTGGACTACGTCCTTCAGCAGTAAGTTTTTACTATACACAATGATAATAACTGCTTCACATTTTGTTGAGAAATTCATTGGTACTTTACAATGAGAAACGAATTTTCAATTTTTCTTCACGAGTTTTCGTTAGGCATTTTCATGGTATTACTTTCCTTCACAATGTGATTTCGAAACTAAAACTCTGATCATAACAATAAAAATATGGATGTAAAATAATGCAGTGAATCTTCATAAAGTTCCATATTTTTTTTTTGGCTCAAGTATCATATATGCCAAATTTAGCACCAAAAATATTGTGGTTTTCCTACTCAAATGCTAAAATTTGGCATTCGGTACACTAATTCTGCCCTGCATTGGAGATGCTCTTAAAGTTCCAAATGATTAACAAATCTGCGTTTCTTATGCGCAGTGCTTGCCTGTAACCATTGACGTTGGCACAAACAATGAGAAGTTATTGAATGATGAATTTTACATTGGGATCAAGCATAAAAGAGCAACTGGCCAGGTTTGCATTTTTTTTCCTCTCAATTTATGGAATTGACTTAATTTATTCAGCCATTAGGAAGCATATTTTTGTTTTCTTCAAAATCTAAGGGGTCATTTTATTTTTCTTGTTCAGGAATACGCAGAGCTTCTAGATGAATTCATGACTGCAGTTAAGCAGAACTATGGAGAAAAGGTCCTAATCCAGGTACTTAATGGGTATTAACATATTAATTCAATGGACTACTCAATCTCTATCCTTTTCTTTTCGTAGTGCTTTAACTGATTTTCTTTGGATTTTCAGTTCGAAGATTTCGTGAACCACAACGCGTTTGAGCTGCTGTCGAGATACAGCTCAAGTCACCTTGTTTTCAATGATGATATTCAGGTAGCAAGACGAACGTGTTATTTATTTATTTTGACAGTTGAAGATCATGATTGCATTTCTTATGATTCCCTTCAATTTGGTTCAGGGAACGGCTTCTGTGGTCTTGGCCGGGCTTATTGCGTCCTTGAAATTGGTCAGCGGAAGATTAGCTGACCATACTTTCTTGTTCTTGGGTGCTGGAGAGGTGAGGCTCAAATATTTCTCAAATGAAAATCTCTTTCAAGTACTATTCACTTGATGAGTCTGCCAATGGCAATTGCAGAATTTTTTTTTCTCATCAGAGGCACTGTGAAAAAAGTTAGAGAGAGTTTTTATTGAATGTTAGCATAGTTATATATTTCAATTATTGAGTGGGGGCGTAGAATGGGGCTACAATTAAAATTTTTAAAAAAACATTAAAGACAAAAATCAAAATTTTAGAAGTCGAGTGGGGCATGATGACAATGTGGCTCCGCTATTGAGTTTGGCTACTTTTAAATCTCAATCTAGTTGAGGGAATCGGTCATTTCAATTCACAAAACTTGTCAATATTGATATTTTGGTTCAATTTTCTATATTTCTGAATATTTTGACACACATGTAGTATGTGTATTATGCTTACTTCACATGTTTCTCACTTTTGTGCTTTTTGCCACTGAAGGCTGGAACAGGTATAGCGGAGCTCATAGCTCTTGAGATGTCAAAACAGGTACCTACTTTATTAGCAATTCTGTCATTTTTTTGCTTTTCAGCCAAACATTTGTGACTAATAATGTAATAATTCATTGGCAGACAAAAGCCCCATTGGAAGAAACCCGGAAGAAGATTTGGCTTGTGGACTCAAAGGTAGCTATACTAGCACAAATAAGATTTCAATTCAATATTTTGAAATAGAATATTATTCAATCACTCTTCTTTTTTTTTTATGTAACATGTTTTAATATTTTTGGTGCAGGGACTGATTGTTAAATCTCGTCTTGGGTCACTTCAACATTTCAAGAAGCCATGGGCTCATGAGCATGAACCTGTCAAGGAACTTCTAGATGCTGTCAAGGTATGGAACTTAGCTGTGCCTTTATTCTTTCATCTCAAATACACCTTTATGGTTTTGGTCTTTTTGTTTTTTATTTTGTTTTTCCTTTCATATTCTTTTTGCCATGAATTTGCCAGGCTATCAAGCCAACAGTGTTGATTGGATCATCCGGCGTTGGAAAAACATTTACAAAGGAGGTGGTTGAGGCCATGGCATCCTTAAACGAGGTACGTTTCTCTCTCTCTCTCTCTCTCTCTCTCTCTCTCTTTGTTCTTCTCTCTAAAAATGCACATATTTAGTACTAAACTATCTTAACAAGAATGACATTGGTGTAATCTGTTATGTAGAAACCTCTCATTCTTGCGCTGTCAAATCCGACATCACAATCCGAGTGCACAGCAGAGGAAGCTTACACATGGAGCAAGGTACAATTGCATACATTGTTTTGTGGCTATTTGAGAAGTGATTTTAGATCAACTAGTAGATCCTTTAGCTGACCATAACATGTGACAAACAGGGTCGAGCCATATTTGCTAGTGGAAGTCCATTTGAACCTGTTAACTATGAAGGGAAAGTTTTTGTGCCTGGACAGGTTTGTTATATTTTCTATGCAACTCTCCTTATTTGAAAATTACAAGGGCAATCAAGGCTCACCCTTTTTTGTGCTTGGCAATAATGTTCAGGCCAACAATGCTTACATATTCCCCGGCTTTGGCTTGGGTTTGATCATCTCCGGTGCTATTCGTGTACATGACAATATGCTTTTGGCAGCCTGTAAGTGCACAAAGGACGACGACCATTTCTTATGTTTCTTTCTATACATAGAAGTTATTGTTATATTTCATTTGGTCACTTTGCCCTTGTAATAGAACTAATTCTTACTTTTACTTGCAAAAGCCGAAGCTTTGGCAGCTCAGGTGACACAAGAGAACTTTGACAAAGGAATGATTTACCCGCCATTTACCAATATCAGAAAGATATCAGCCCATATTGCTGCTAATGTTGCTGCCAAGGTGTATGAACTCGGTGAGCTTCTTGTGGTTAAACCACCATACAAAAGTACTGCCAAATCCATCAAATGTTCATACTCAGGACTTTCTTTTCTGTTTGTTTGCTTTGTGTAGGCCTTGCTTCTCATCTTCCGCGTCCTAAAGATCTTGTCAAGTATGCAGAAAGTTGCATGTACAGCCCCGTCTACCGAAGCTATCGCTAAAGTATTCAAGTTTAGATAAAAGTTTACCATTGTTTCAGTGAAAAAGACGTGTAAATTGTGCTTTGGGATTACCACTATCGTTTAGGAAAGTAAATGACGAGTCGTAAATAAATTGAAACATTTTCTACAGTTTATAAAGCGACATCTTCGTCACACCAGAAAGTTTGTTCTCATTTATAATGAAAAAAAAAAAAAAAAGACATGATGCTTTCTTCTTAGCATTTTGGTCGTTCTGGAATAAGAGCCATGTCCTTCGCAGTTTAAGTCTGTTGCAGACTTGCAGTTTATAAACAGAAGAGAAAGGATTACAATTACCCCATGCTACACCAACTTATTATTAACCCCTAAACATTTAACTCTTTTATTTCTACCCCTTTAAATTATAACCAATCAAGTGAGCCATTACTAGATTACTAAAATACCCTCAATGGTCTATTGATAATTTACAAGATCTTGACAGTGTACGGTGGCGGGCCTATAGTCTATGACCCATAATTTGTCTTAGTCAATGACCAATCGTCTGACAGGTTATACCGGCCAGTAGGTTTTTGATCGCCAGCCGGCTATGGTTTGTCAAATTATGACCCATAGTTTGTCAAATTATGACCTATAATCTCACCGGTTACGTCAGCGGGCGGGTCTCTGATCACTGGTGCCCGCCATAAACTGTCAGACTATGATTCACAATCTAATAAGTTATGCCAGCCGCCAACCATAATCTAGTAAAGTATGATCTATGATCTGTCAGACTATGATCCACAATCTGTCAGATTATAAATCATAATTTATCAAATTATGTTTCATAAAACAATCGTGTATATGAAAAACTATAAAACTTCCATATCTTATAATTATACTCAGACCCCGTTCATTTCGTCGATTCGAGTTTAGAATTCGAGTTTTGCTACAGTAAAAAGCTCTCAGAAACAGTCACATCTAACTTTTTTACTACAGTAAAAAGCTCTCACACAAAATTACATCTCAACTCGAATTACAAACTCAAATCAACGAAGTGAACGGGCCCTCAGATTATCAAAATTATACTCAGATTTAGAGGGGGAAAAAAAAGCAAAAACAAATCATTAGACATTAGAAGCATGTTCTTTGATCTTGCTCTAAAAAGGCAATCATCCACGATTTGTTTCATCAACTCAGACATACAAAAAACACAAAAATGAACTAACGCCATGTTTGCCAAAAACAATCAATGGTTCGCTCATCAAGCACTTCTGCACATATGAGGCTTTTATTCTACTATGCATCACCAATCTCTCAATACAAAATCCAAAATCAGAAATAAGAAATAAGAAGTTTTCACATTCCATCGTACATATGCCTCAAAGCAATTTTTAAACCTGTTACACCAAAATCAAACTAAAAATCCCAAAAATGAAAAACAAAACTATTCATGTTGTCCAAAAGCATTAACAATTCTTAGATTATGAAAAGAAGTAATTGGCACCCTTGTCCCTAAACTATTTAATAAGTGATAGTTTAGTCTTATTTTTTTTTTTAATTTTGACGAAAAGATCCCCAAACTTTTAAAATATTGGCAATTAAAACCTTTCCATCAAACTCTGTTAAATTTCTAAGGGTTCGTTTTGTACGATGATTAAAATCAGAGTGATTCTAATTATAATTCTAGAATCAGAACCATGATTCATAATTTTTAGTTTAAATCATGATCTTGAAACTATAATTTAGAATCAGGAGTTTGAATCATCTTAAATCAAGAGGGAGGTGGTTTTAAAATCATGAGTGATTCTGGTTTAAAACATCACATCAGATTATAAATCATGATTCAGAATCATCTAAATCAAATACTAGTTCTGAATTATGATTCAGAATCACAGTAAATAAATAATGATTCTGAATCAGAATCTAAAATCATAATTCTAAACCCACTACCAAACAAACCTTAACAGATTCTTGCACATGACTATCATGTGCATCTCTTTTTCGTTGAAAAGACGAAAAGACCCTAAAATCTCGCACCAATAAAAGGCAAAAAAAAAAACTGAAATCCCAATTTCATACTTCCCACAACTGCCTTTGTATACCTCTGTGTCCTTCAGAAATCTTCATGGCATGCTTCATCCATAAACTCGTCCTCTCTCTCTCTCTCTCTCTCTCTCTCTCTTCCAACGCATCTGTCTATTCTTTATTCGTTCTTCTATTTCTTTTCTTTGTTTTTATAACAAAATAATTTCACATGCTTGATTAATACAATACACACTACCACTTGAAAATTGAAGGATTACGATAAATCCATAATAAATAAAAGCAAAACCTTTCACATTGAAGAAGAAAATTTTGAAAATTTGTATCGGACAAAAAAAAGATTCTCATTGCAATGGTAAACCGCAAAAGAAAAAAGAAAAAAAAGCCAAACTCTCCACAAGTCCTGCACTCTCAAACCAGGAGAAAGGGATTGTTTCAAAAACAAGGCCAAGCTTTTCATAAGTCCTCCACGCTCAAATCCTTAATCTAATGAATTTGTTTTGGCATTTTATTTTTGGCATTTTGATTTGGATCTTAACAAGACAAGAATATGGCCGACCCTCTGCGAGATCAAGCTCCTTCCCACATCGTCAGATCGAGCCCCCTCCCCATCGCAACATCGAGCCGCCTCCGCCGTCGCAAGATCGAATCAGCCTTCCGCCGCCCAACCGACACCCTTTGCCACTAGATCCAGCCCCCTTCTCGTCGATCTTGATATGGATTTGAAGCATCTTTCAAATTTGTTTGAAGCACTTCGTTGCGAGAACCCATTGTAAATTCAGAGCGCCGTGAAACTTCGGCGCACCCATAACTGCGCGACCAACCCTCCATCATGCCGGCGAGAACGCCGCCCTCTTGAGCCCCCTTCGACCTCCACCGATTTACAATGGGAGTTGTTGAGGTTGTTCTTTTGCATTTTTGAGTTAAAAAGGTGATTTGAGTGATGATTTTGAGTTGCGTTTGAGTTATAATTTAAGTTAAAAGTGTAACTTGAGTTTGTGTTTTTATGTGCATATTTGAGTTATGATTTGAATTAAAACTCTTTTTGAGTTTGTGTTTGGGTGGGTCAAAGTTTAAATTTGTATTTAGATAGTATTTTAATAAAAACTCAATGGTGATAAAAAATTTTAATAAGGTATATAAGTGGGGTTTTATTTATTTTTTCGTTATGAATGCATAGAGGAAAAAATCATTTCAATCAGAATTAAAACGAAAATGTTATAATATTTTCAAAAATAGAAAAAATAATATTTATTAACTTGAGTTTGAGTTTATAAACTCAAGTTGATGGGGAAACTTGAACTCGAGTTGAAGGGGAAACTTGAACTCGAGTTTAACCCTAAACTCAA